TTTTTGTGTATATTATTATTTCTACACTGACGCTAAGGTATTATTTAATATTAGTACAGTGTACAGTGAATCAGTGTTAGTGTTCTTTCTTGAATAAAGTGAATAGTAGAAAATGGCTCGTACAAAGCAAACAGCCCGTAAATCGACTGGTGGTAAGGCACCACGCAAACAATTGGCAACAAAAGCTGCCCGTTAGAGTGCACCAGCGACTGGTGGTGTAAAGAAACCACATCGTTATCGTCCCGGTACAGTGGCTTTGCGTGAAATTCGTCGTTATCAAAAAAGTACTGAATTGTTGATCCGCAAATTGCCATTCCAGCGTTTGGTACGCGAAATTGCCCAGGATTTCAAGACCGATTTACGTTTCCAGAGTTCCGCTGTTATGGCTTTACAAGAAGCAAGTGAAGCATATTTAGTTGGCTTATTTGAAGATACCAATTTGTGCGCCATTCATGCCAAGCGCGTCACAATTATGCCCAAAGACATTCAACTGGCTAGACGTATTCGTGGAGAGCGTGCTTAAATAAATTACGAACGAAAAATCTCAATTTATAAAAAACGGTCCTTTTCAGGACCACAATTTTTTAAACAAAAGATCATCAATGTTTTAATTATCAAAAATCGTTTTATTTCGAATATACATACATATTTACAACATTAGTATTTTACCTACCGATTTTCACTCGTTTGCGAGGTATAAATTTGTGTACTGTACCTTTTGCATTTCAGTGACGCTGTTAGTTAGTTGTATGCATGCATATGTATGTATGTACATATATACGTAAAAGTATACCTAAATATGTATGTATGTGCAATTATTCTGTATCCACTGTGGCTTATTCAGTTATTGTACGTACACGTGTGTAAAAACAGTTTCTAAATAAGGGGCAATTTTGGCGCGAATCCAAGCGCTTGGACTCTCGAAGTGGTTGTTGATTTTATATGCACACAATATACATATAAAATTTCTTTGATTGGCACATATAATAAATGAAAATTAATCAACTATTTTTAAGAAAATATATTTAATCTCTTTGTAAATGAATTTTGTCGTCCTGAAAAGGACGGTTTTGTTGCGTGGATGAAATGTTTAAATTGACTGCAATGTACACTTTAAGCTTTCTTTTCGGTTTTCTTGGGCAAAAGTACAGCTTGAATGTTAAGCAAAACACCACCTTGAGCAATGGTCACACTAGACAGCAGTTTATTCAATTCCTCATCATTGCGGATGGCCAATTGTAAATGACGTGGAATGATTCTGGTCTTTTTGTTATCACGAGCAGCATTACCAGCCAATTCAAGTACTTCAGCCGCCAAATATTCCATAACAGCAGCTAAATAAACTGGAGCGCCGGCACCAACACGTTCTGCATAATCGATGTTCAAAGTCAGAAGCGTTAACCACTGACCTATGTACATCCCGTAAACTCTTGTTGCTCCCTGCTGAAGTCTGAAAAAAAAGAAGTCTGATGAGGAGATGTGGTGATCTCCGAAATAGCTGCTATAACTTCTACCGCTTAGACTTTGTTGCTTTTTCAATTTTTCCTAATAAACAATCGTGGTACAAAGCTCAATAAAAATATTAAAAATAAAATATTAATAAGCCACAATAACATTGACAATAAAGAATATCATTTGCGCAAAGAAAAATTTGTAAAGAGCTGTTGGGGAAATAATTCGTCTTTTTCATAAGAGGATACCGAAAATCCAATCGCGGGCCTTTGGCATATCATGAAGACCCTGCTAGCAAATATGCTTGTGTCGAATTGAGTTCTAGAGGTTGCTTGGGGCAGTGTTATCAAAGCAGAACCATTGCCGAATTTAATAAATTTCATGTCGCAGCGCGTAAACGATTTTTAGAAAGCGAAGAAGACTCTGCATGATATTATCATAAAACATATTTTCTGAATTTTTTAGTCCTTAAAATAATATCTCCTTAAATTACTACAACCAAAGTTATGTAAATATTAATAATTTTCCTTTAAAACTAACCAAAATATAAAAAACAAGAAAATGCATGTTTCTTTTAATTGGCTAGATTTCAATGTCCGCAACTGTATATTGAAAATACAAACGTCATTTGACTTATAGCATGTGAATTTGTGGTTGCCACACCCAACAAAGTGTATTTAGTGATCAATAATATTGAAGATTTAAGGAAGAGTTAACTTAAATCTACTGCCTTTTGAGATTTAATTTTATATGGTAAATCTCAAAATATTTAACGTTAAATCTCGCCAGAGGGCTAAATCTTCATTAAATCTCACAATGGAGACATAGTATAATTTTCGAATATTTTTAAATATTTTTCTTCATAAAAAGTTAACTGCTGCTTTCGTGGATATTGCAACACACGGAATAGGTGTAAGGATGCAGCTATAAGAGCCACCGCATACCACAGAGTTTATCGGCCGCTTATTTAAATAATAGGGCTCGCTTGAAATATGTACATACATGAAGATGTATGGAGGTGCGCACACTACACCAGCTTAATCGCTCCGACCAATAAGTTGTGGTGCAATGGAAAGACTAGCGAGCCCATCTAAATCGGCGGCCGATAAAGTCCGTGGTGTGCGATGGATCTAATCCATTATAAACAAGAAATATTGCCGTTATATTTTCATTTTTAAGGGGGAAACTTTCCATTATGGCCGTTCGTTAAAGGTGCGGTGGGCGAAGGGGGAGTGGGCGTGGCACCTCCAACCGACCTTTTCGGAGAGGGCATGAACCGCCATTGACAAAAATGCAACCCCCGACCACCTAGGCCCCCTATGGTTCCCTACGCACCCCTTAGAAAAATGGCCAAAAATCGCAATTTTTACTTGCGTCCACAGTATTTTTGCGTAGAATTCCTTTCAGCGTAGGCTTAGGGATTATAACCCTTATTATGTAGAATTCTCCTTTCTGTGTGACCTAACTGGGGCTACCGCCCCAGTGATGTAACCTTGGGAAAGGATGAGGTAACTAGAATTCCCTTTCTGTGTGGTAAACCTGGGGCTGCCGCCCAGTGATGTCTATTTTGGTTACTGGGTGTTTTATAAAAATGTCTTGTATATAAAAATGTGTATATAAAAATGTATTGTGCAAATGAATATTTAACATATTTCAAGCGAATAAACGCAAATGAAAATTGTGCTTTTTGGCAATTTTTCTAAGGGGTCCCTAGGGAACCATAGGGGACCTAGGTGGTCGGGGGTTGCATTTTTGTCAATGGCGGTTCATTCCCTCTCCAAAAAGGTGGGCGTGTTTGTCACAGACACGGTTTGTGTCAAAAATTTTGAAGTGAGACTACCTTCTAAAAATTATTGTATCATGCCCTGTACCAAGGCGAATTTATATAAGGTGGTGTTACTAGCTCAGCTGATTTTGTGTATGTGTTTCGCCGCACGGCTTTTGATATCAAATTGAAAAATTTTGTTTGAATTTCTACACACACTCTTACAGATTTTGACAGTTTATGCCGCCAAAGCAAAAACAAAATACATGTAAATTTTTGTTTTTGTACTCCTGCTATCACCTTATATTAATTCGCCTTGCCCTGTACTATGTATTTTAATTCGTGGTTGCCTTTACCGCCGAGTCGTTGCGTTTGCCTGAATGTATTGTCGGAAAAAATGCACTTAAGCGTACACATTTCAAACGTTGTTATAGAGTGACTCAAAAGTGAAGTGAAGTGATTTGAAAAATGCCGCCTAAAACTAGTGGAAAAGCAGCGAAGAAAGCCGGCAAGGCTCAGAAGAATATCACCAAAAAATGACAAGAAGAAGAAGCGCAAGAGGAAGGAAAGCTATGCCATCTACATCTACAAAGTTTTGAAGCAAGTACATCCTGATACCGGCATTTCGTCAAAGGCCATGAGTATCATGAACAGTTTTGTGAATGATATCTTTGAGCGTATTGCTGCTGA